AATATAGATTCTTCAGCAAATTCACTTATACTGGATTTTATAACAATGTTCTCACGAGACCAAATACCACCAATTGACAATCTTGTAAGCAATCCTGCTGAACCTTCAACTGTAAACGTCGATGGTAACATTCCACGAAGGTCATCTATTGACATCTTTGAGTCACTGAATTTAAATATTTTCTTAAAGCAATCGTCATTATCTAACCATGCAATAGCTTTGAAGTTTTCATTCGAATATACATCTGCTTCATTAAATGTAAAACCTGACTTCTTTGCAGAGACGACTTTAAAATCTATTGAGTTTGTTTCAAAATTATATGCTATGGTAACTTCTGAAGGTAATGGATGCCCTTCCGCAGTCAGTTGTTCTCTCACTACCGTTTGAAGCTTTGTGTTAAAAACTTTCATGTCATCTCCTGTGTCTAGGTTCACATACACAGCAACAGGAAAACTATCTTGCTTCTTTGTTTCATCATTATACCTCAAAACATTAAAGTTCTTCAATAATATTGTTCTTCCTGCTGGAATACTTCGAACCTGTCTGATTTCAATAGCTTTCTCACCTCCTACATACTCTACCCAGTGTCTTGGATATTCATAAGTATACTGACTTTCTTGAATTTTGGTTGGTTTCATCATAACGTGTTCATAGTATATCTTTATACTCTTGTCAGTTAGACTCGGTGCTATGTTCTGAATATTTCTGACTTGCATTTTTAATGGAGATAAAATGAAGCATTTAATACATGACGTAGATGAAGACATGAATGAAACTACAGACAAACTTAACTCTTCTCATTCTTCCTTTCAGTAAGGACTATGAGTTCTGTTCAAATGGTGTTTATTTCTATTGTGGAAAGATGGGTTCAGGTAAGACATTTAACCTCATTCGTCATATACTCATAACAGAACGTTTAGGAAACGACTCATATTATGACCAAATCATTATATCAGCAACTTCAGACTCTATGGACTCAACAGCGAAAACATTTATGTCAAAAGTTCAAGCCTCTGTCGTTAAAGTTCCAGATAGCGAACTCATTGAATTTCTTCAACGTTACATTCGACGTAAGAGGAAATATTATGCCATCGTTGAATTTATACAGTCAGGAATGCAAAAGACTTCAGAAGAGATGGAAAGAATTATTGACAAACACCACTTACGTCATACTCAGGAGTTTACGATATGAAACGACTTACAAACTACATTCTGTCAAAACTTTCAAAATACCCCTTCAAAAAGTATCCTTCAAACACTCTGCTCGTTTGCGACGACTTCGCCGGAAAAGGTTTAGTGTCAAAGCCTGACTCACCATTAGCTAACATCATTACTAAAGTCAGACATTACCACTTAACTGTAGCAATACTTATGCAAACATGGCGTTTCCTTGCTTTAAACATAAAACGTCTCATAACTGACTTCGTTATCTTTCAAGGTTTCTCACGCTATGATATTGAACTCATTTGGAAACAGTCAGGTATAACATTACCTTTTGAAGAAATTTGGGAAGCATATAAGTCTCTCATCTCTCCTCGTTCATACCTTGAGATTCATATCATGACTAATACCATTAAAGTCAAAAATATTCCATGGGAACGACCAACATTGTTTTAAAGTTTAACCTTCAATTGACTGATGGTAAACAAATTCCATGCATCTCTGTCGCCATTTCTGTTAATATTTTTGCTGTCATTCATATCATCCACTTCCCCATCCGTTAGCTTTTGAGGATATGCGTTAGAATAGCTGTTCTTAAATGAAGGCTTTTCACCTTTGAGAGCATAAACTCTATAACTTTCTGCATACTTTATGTTTGAACCTCCTGAGCCATCATTGACATAAATTTTTATAGGCTTCCACCCTTTGTTCATGTTCCTGCTTCTTCCCTTAGCTCTTTTGTTCAGTAGTTCTACATCTTTATACACAGCACCTGTCTCAGTGAATTCAACAATATTTTCATTCGTTAGCTTTACATTCAAACCCTTGTCGAGTATATTGTTCATTTCATACATATAAAAGGTTTTTATTCTATATGAAATGAGAAGCAAATCCATCTTAGCTGGTGCCGTTAATGTTCCAATTGAACCAACATCAAATGTTGACTCACGAACGACAAACAATATTGTCATAAAGAACTATAGTTCAGAGTGTTTGAAAGAAAAAGAACCAGAGCTGAAATCCGTGAATTTAAACACAGCTTCAAACGCTAACGCTACATCAGATGTTAAGTTAGAGTATCCACCACTGGACCAAATTCTTTCAAGAGAAGCCAACGACAACCCTTACACAAATGTTCAAACAAATCCTTCAGATAACGTAGACCATTACCTTCTTCAGTTATACCAAACAATTTTACTCAAAGACGATAAGAAGCTTTTGACAAATCTTATAAGCAAGAACCAAATAATTCTAACAAAGGAGGACCTTGAAAATGTTATATCACGAATAACAGGGAAACAATGTGTCATTGACTATCTCGACCCTGAAATCGAATGCTGTGGTCAAACTCCAATATTCATGAAAATAGGTAACATCCGCATCATTGAAACACCAGGAACTCCAGGAGTTGAGTTTAAGTATAAATATTCAAACGAGTATACAAAACTATCTACTTACTATAAGCTTTGTTTGAAATATGTTTTAGTAAATTAAAGCAATTTGTAATATCTGTCCAAAACTTCTTCAACAGTATCGAACTCATCTTCATAATGCAAACCTAATCTTATTGACTTGGTGCAGTTTTCACTAACACAATATAGCGCTTTGCGCTCGGCGCCTTTGACGCCTTTTTCTGTTCTCTTGACTGACATAACTAACTCATTTGTTTCATCAAACAGCAACAACCAAAGTTCATGACCTAATACATAACATTCATACTTTATATTTTTAGCTCTGAGTTCTCTTGTAAGCTGTTGCATTTAATATTTTCTAAAAAGTCAACTTCAACAGTCATTCGCACTGGTGCCTTCAGTTCTACAGGCTCTCCTTGAAAGTCAACAAGTCTGAATTGCATGTCTTTCAAATTATGAGGACTAATGCGAACCCATTTACCTAAATGAGTTGCTATGACAGGAACGTTTGGAATGAACATTGAATTTACTTCATAACAGAAAGATTTATACTCTACTGAACCTTTACTATTAACTCCTGAAATGCCTGTGACATTAGCTATTTTAGATTCAATGTACAAACAATTGCCATAACATACGTATGGAACAGATTTCATCTCAATCGTTTTGTCAACACTTTTCAAAGGTAGTTGCATATGGTATGCTCCCAGAAGCAATTGAACTCTATGACTCATTCGTGTTATCTTAAACTCCTTCGCATAACTGAACTTCAAAACTCCTGCAATAAGTTTAACATTCATTAAGTTTTCTTCGTTCTCCTTGTTTATTGTAGTATTTATGAGCGCATTTAACACTCCAGCTAATGTTTCCATCTTATATTCTACATTATTGTGAAATCTTATTTCATGCTTCTTTCCATCTATTTCAAACTCCATGAAATCTGTTTCATCTGTTATGACAAAAGTTGCGATAGTATTGAAGTCAACAACTCTGAAAGCAAGCGCTTCATTCTGAAGACCTAAGTTTGTTTGTAGCTTTACTGTTCCGTATTCGTTTGGGTCTGTACTTTGCAAATAGAACAACATTTTATTCTCATTAAAATATGACTATTGCTGCATATGCGTATGAAACAAATGAAGCAAGAAGAGCACATGAACTAGTAAACGAAAACTCAACTTTAACCATTGAAGGCAATGATTTAGTCATTGACGATGGAAAAACTAAAAAAGTCATTGATTTCGATACTTTTAACACTTATGACCCATTCATTACAATAAGTAAAGTTCCTATCATAAATGATGGAACGGTGCAATATATAAATTCTACAGTAGATGCCTCATTAGTGAAAGTATTAAATGTTCTCATTGAATTGTTAAAGAGCTTTCGATTTGACGACAACATTAAATGCCTAAAGAATTTAGTCATGAATGAGAAACAAATTCTCGGCGTTGCTGGTAGCAGTAATGATGTACACCTTATGACATTAGAATATTATAACGAACATAAAGATGAACTGAAAGGAGAGAAGGGTGACACCGGACCTCAAGGACCACAAGGAATACAAGGAATTCAAGGAATCAAGGACCTCAAGGCGAAAACGGTTTGGATGGAAAGGATGGAAAGGATGGAAAAACTGCTAAATCATGGATATGGGACCTTATAAATACTGGTTTAACAGCTGCTTCATATGGAGTTCTTCAATACCAAATCGGAAAGATATGGGCAGTACTTGGTGAACAAGTTTTAGATGACGTTAAAAATGCTTTGAACTTCATTTCAAATGGTTCGGATACTATTAAAACTTTATCTGGTTGGATGCAAGAAACAAGGAGTCAAATAGATACTGTAAGACGTATAGCAAACAATGCACGTACGGGATTGGATACTTTACGACAAGCACAAAATACACTAAAGGAAGCAAATGATATTCTTGGCTCAGTATCAGACATGCATGAAGATTGGCTTAAAGGTATTGACAAATCTTTAAAAAATCACAGTCAGTCTATTGCTGACTACAAGAAAAGTATAGATTTTTTACATAGTGCTATGGACGTACATGATGGAAGCATAAGGAACTTACTTAATGCTAACAATAACTTACCAGGAACTATTAAAGCATTTATAAAGTCCTTTGTAAAACCTGGTGCTCTAACATTTAGGTCTTTGAGAGCAAGAGCATTGAAGTCAAGAGATGCAGAAACTCCAACAGAACCTACAGAAGGAACTGAAACAACAGAAACTCCAGAAGAACCACCAAAACCAACAGCTAATGAAATATTGTTCGAATATTTTCCAAGGTACTCTGTTCTCATTGCATACATTCAAGAAATACTTAAGAAAGCAGACTTGACTTTAGGAGATGATGAAAGTTCTGTATATCTTTCGTTCCAGTTTCAAATAGCAGAACTTTTGAGACAGATATGCTTAATGTATGACAACATCTCTGATTTCACAAGATATGATGACGACCATGACCCCGAACACGGTGAAGAAGAAGTTTTACAAACATCCATTAAGACAGGAAAGGTTTTAACACAAAGTCTCATTATTGACACCAAAGATGGCGAAGTGGACGTTCTTCAAGAGCTGAAGAAAAATACTTCTTCGGGAGGTGGTGGTAGGCATGAACTTGAAATAAATGAGATAGAAGAGAAATTAGCCGAAAAAGCAGATAAAGAACATAAACACAATATCTCCGATATAAATGAACTTCAAGCTACATTAAATAGTAAAGCGGACAAAAATGAACTTGACGCAATGAAGAAAGTTTTGAAATCTCATAAACACAATATCTCCGATATAAATGAACTTCAAGCTACATTAAATAGTAAAGCGGACAAGAACCACGTTCATTATATAACTTCAGACGAACAGATTATAACGGACTACCATGGATATTTAACACGAAGTGATGAAGCGAAGACAAAAAATGTTAATGAAAGAAGATATAAATACATTCGTGCTAAAGGTTATGACATAAGCTGTACTGTACAGTATGATGTAGCTAAAGCACCAGAAGCATTTGGTTATACCGGTGAAATTTATGCCTCTACTTTCAATGTTAACGGTGTATTAGTTGAACCAAGATTTATGTTAAGAGTTAAGGCAAAAATAACTTTTGAAGATGCTATTAAAAGTAAAGCTGACAAAAATGAACTTGACGCAACGAACAAAGTTTTGAAATCTCATAAACACAATATCTCCGATATAAATGAACTTCAAACTTCTTTAGACAACAAAGCAGACAAAAATCATACACATAAATCCTTCACTACTGTTAGAGCAGACGACATAATATTGAACTATGATTTGGGTTCAAGTGCACCTTTAGAGAATCCGAGTACAAGCGTAAAAGATACTCTTAACAATTTAGATAAGAGTTGCAGGAATATCGAAGATCATGCCAGAAACTTTGAAGCATATGAACTACCATCAATGTTAGATAAAAAAGCAGACAAAAATCATACACATCAATCCTTCACTACTGTTAGAGCAGACGATGTAATATTGAACTTTGACCTTGGTTCAAGTGCACCTTTAGAGAATCCGAGTACAAGCGTAAAAGATACTCTTAACAATTTAGATAAGAGTTGCAGGAACATTGAAAGTCATGCCAGAAACTTTGAAGCATATGAACTACCATCAATGTTAGATAAAAAAGCAGACAAAACTTATGTGGATGCAGAACTAACAAAGAAATTTTCGAAACCAGATACAATGACATTTACAACAGAAATTATAAATGGTGAACCAGCAACTCCATTTGAATTTGTTAGAGGTCTTCAACCGGATACTTTTGAATTTTTCTTGGATAATTCTATTGAACTAACATTACATTATAAAAGTGGAACAAATGCAACATTTCATCCGGGAGATACATTCCAAATGGTATTTAATGACATAAGTTCTTTAGAATATGTTTATAGAGTTATGAGCATATATGATTTAATATATCCTATAGGAGCTGTTTATACGTCTATGAATCCAATAAATCCAAACACTTTATTTGGTGGTAGATGGTATGAAATAGTTGACAGTTTTCCATTCTACACTAATACGCAGTCAATGAAGATGGGAGGTTCAAAGAAAATAGGTATTGAAAACCTTCCTTCACATATGCATAGGTTCAGTGGAAGAACATCTGTGGAAGGAAACCATTCACATTCAATAACAAAAAGAGGTTATACAAATCTTGCAGCGGGTTCGGATAGACAGGGAATGCATAGATATGATATCACAACTGACCCCAAAGATGTTAGCACAGGTATTTTCTGTGGAACCGCAGGAAATCATACACATGTTGTAGCTGGTATTACAGACCCAGCAGGTAATGGAAAAGATTATATGCCTCCTTATATAACAATGCACGCTTGGATACGAGTTGGTTAAACTCTTTAACTTTACATAAATGAGCTTGAAAGAAGTATTCGAACAACATCCATGGAGGTCATTTAAGAAATTCAATGAAGCTGCAAAGAGTTGGGGATTTACTAACAGAGCTGAAGTGAAAAGGTTCTTTGACAAAAATGTTGTACATCAAACAAAAATAAACCCTTACGACTACTTTTTACCAATTTACTCCAACACTCCTGACGCATACCAATTTGACACTCTCATTCAAAGCAGAAAAGGAGGACATAAACCATTCCTCATCTTCATTAATGTTAACACTCGCAAAGCTTTTGCGTATATAATGAAAATAAAGGAACTCGTGAAGTGTTAAGAGTTTTACAAAAGTTTGTAGCAGAACATAGCCCAAGTACTTTAACATCAGACCAAGACAGTGCATACCTCAGCAATGAAATCACAGATTTTCTCATTAAGCATAACATAACTCACTACACTACTGAAGACCATAACCATAACATACTCGGCATCATAAACCGCTTCATAAGGAACGCTCAGAGATTTAAATCAAGAGCGAGACTTTACCGAAGAAACAATGAAACACTTTCTCGAAGTATATAATTCCTCAACACATTCTACAACAGGACATACACCAAATTCAATGACACAACAACAAGAAGAAAAGTATATACAAAAGAAACGAAGCCAAACACAAAATATCAGAAATTCAACACAATTTACCTCATTCCTGGTACAAAAGTTCGTGTAGTTCTTGACGACAAACCGTTGACAAAGAAACGTTTAAGGTTAAGTCGAAATTATTATATCGTAGACTCTACGCAAGGTAATGGATATCTTATAAAAGCTGCCGACGACTCCATTGCATTTTATCCTCGTCATAAATTAGTCGAAAGTAGTAATGGCAAACTTGCTGAAACCATTGACGAAGCAAAGCGAGGAGTGGTTATTGAAATACTTGACTACAACATAAACGATGACACTTATAAAGTAAGATATGAAGGAGGTGTTGAAGATGTTATACCATCTAAGAACTTGAGAGATCTAAACCAACTCATCTGGGACCATTAGAGCGGGAGTACTGGAAAGAAAAATATGCCAGAAAGAATAAGAAAATTCTTCTAAACTTTTTCATTAGATGTAAATCAGACAAAAATATATTATAGGTGAAGAGGTGAGATTTCACCTGTTTTCTCACCTGTTTTTTCACCTCTTGAATTTTCGTGAATTTCCTTAAGATAGAAAAAATAAAGTTAGTTTTATTTTTATTTATTTTTTATTTTGTATAAAAGATATGATTTCAACAATCGGCACAACAACAATTCAAGCCGCGAACGGCGGGACTCTGTCCACAACAACAGCACCAAACTCGTTAGTCATGAATCCAACATCTATGTTAGTAGAGATGGAAAGCTTCATTCCTTCTTCATTTACTTTCGAAACAGAAATACAAAAAATTAAGCAGGAACTTTTAACAAGTAATTTAGACTGTAGTGCGAAAGATGAAACAAATGAACAGTATCTTTATGAAATGGAGGACCTCATCGACCATTTACCTAAACTACCTGAAATCCAACAACAAAAACTCACTATTCCTGAATTCGACGAAATTGAAGTCAAAGCAACTGACTCAGTAGAAATAAAGAAGTTCATACGTAAAGTAAATTATGAATTCCTTGGTTTTCATTGCAACCATAAAGTTATGGACAAAGATTGCGATATGGTATATAAGAATGTTTCTGACATATATAAATCTGAAGAATTTAAGACCTACGACAACTTTGTTTCGTTAGTTGCTGAATGTGTTTGGGAAATAAGAGATAAAGATAGAAGAGGTAAGGTATGGAATGAACAACTAAGACCCGCTATGTTTGAGATGAAGAGAGCAATTGACGCCTTAGTTGTTCTAGCAGGTCAAATTTCAATGTATAATGCAAAAATGAACCCACAATGTTCAAAATGTAAAGCAGCAATAAGGAAATATAACTACTCCGTCAAAGAGATAGAAAGAATGCGAAACGACTATGCAGACTTAAAGAAAGAAGCAGAAAAGCCAGCAGAAGATAAAATGGACATGTTAGCATTTCTGAACAAAAACTATCCAACAGTAGAAGATTTCCTTCTATCTGACGTCAAGAAGAAATATAAAGAGACTTTCGGCATTGTTAAAACTTTTGATATCCTCAGCGAAGAAATAGAAGCTACAAAACTGTTTAGGATTTCAAATATACATCGTACAATTCATGTAAAACGCTTGTGAAAAAAAGAGGTGAAAAATTAGGTGAAAAAAGAGGTGAAATCTCACCTCTTCACCTAAATTATATTTTTGGTCATTTACACTCATTTACGAAGAAGTCATGACAAAGCATTTACGATGAAATCTTGACAAGGCATTTACGAAGAAGTTATGACAAAGCATTTACGAAGAAGTTATGACAAAGCATTTACGAAGAAGTTATGACAAAGCATTTACGAAGAAGTTATGACAAAGTCATGAGGGTGAAAAATTAGGTGAAAAAAGAGGTGAAATCTCACCTCTTCACCTAAATTATATTTTTGGTCAAAGCTTCCACGAGAGAAAAGATTCCTCATTTGCTAAGGATTCCAAAAATGAAAAAATCGTTGATTTCGGCTGAGAAAAAACGGCAAAAACCCTTCTTCCACGGGAACAAAGAAATAAAGAAGAAATAAAGTAAATTTTTTATTTATTCCCGTGGAAGATAGAGCACTTTTATGACACTTTTTATTCACGACAAACAAGACAAATAAAGAAAATAAGAAAATACGGCGCTGTCGCGGTTCGAACCACAGACCCTGACCCCTCCATAACACCACCTTAGACCACTGTGCTACGTAGCCTGTCGACATAAGATTTTATAAATTGCATATTTGACGTAAATTTATTTCCATCTGGCTTCCCACTGCATAAGATATTCATACGTGTTTGTAAGACATTCATTAAACTTCTTTTCTATTGCATCTAATCTTGCGTTATTTTTTTCAATAACTTGTCTGTATTCTTCATCATCTCCAGCAGTGTTTGGGTCTTCACGTTTAAAATATTCATTGTTAACCAATTTTTTATCTACAAATTTTATTAGTGTTTGATTCACTTCGTTATGATAACGGTCATATTCTTTCAATACGTAAGTGAAGACAAAATGCGTCGTACCTTCAATCTTAAAGCTTAAAGAACTTTCAACACAGTTTTGAGGGTCTGTCAGTGCGTCAATGAGATAGTATTCGAAGTCAGTCAATAATCTTTTTAAAGTCATTTCATACAGGATAAAATTTAATGTTGTGAAGAAATAGTGTTTATCTCAAAAAAAATAAAGTTAGTTTTATTTTTATTTATTTTTTTATCCTGTATGTAAAGACAGATATGTCAACATTAGAGAACACAACAACTGCTATCGTTCATGAAGTCATAAATGAAGAATACGAATACATACAGTATAACAAACAATTGAGACTCATTCGTTCTGTCAAAGACGACATGTACCAAATGCAAAGTATAATGAATGCTCTTCGTTCTACAAAGCAAGCATATCATTGGTTTGAAAACCAACAGACAAAAGAACTTTTAGAAGAATTTCCTCATATGATTGCTTCCCTCGGAAAACCGAGAGAAGAGATTCCGTACGAAAATCGCAAGAATTTGGCTCCTGGTTTGAAAGGTTATTATGTTCATAGACTTTTAGTAAATGCTGTAGCAATGTGGGCTTCACCTCGTTATGCTTGTTATATTTTCATGATGTTAGATGAACTATATAAAGCAGAACGTGGAGAGATGGAAAAGAAACTTCATGCAAAAGATGAAGTCATTGAAGCAAAAGACAAAAGCATTCAGAAAAGAATACCACGTTCGGTACCAAAAGGTAAGGAAAAGAGTTATAAGTATATGATATATACTGAAGAGTTGGAGAAAGAAGAAGATAAAGATATGGTTATGTTGCATTTAGTCAGAAGAAACAACAAAAGCTTTTATGACCTTGCTAAGATTTACAAATCTGACAGAAACTGGTTCTATCGTGACAACTTACCGATTTCAATGACACCGAATGAGCAAATAAAGGAAATTGTCAAAAATACTCTTCCTCAAACACACTATGACATCAAAGGTTGCACAATACTTACATTCAAAGAAGACTTAACATTACTGAAAGAAAAGATAACAGAATATTTCGACAACTTCAAAGAGGAAGAATGAAAACTTACCGATTTCAATGAAAAACATTAACTTTTTTTTGACGAAGTGAAGATTTGCACTTTGTCAAAATTTAATGAAAAACATTAACGTAAACATTAACGATAAAATTTATTTCCTGGACTGTTGTCAAAATGTCATGTTGTCATCATTTTTAAAAGAAGTTAATTAACCTGGTAGCACATGGTGACGTGGTGACACTTTCAGTTATTCAAAAATATATTTTTGCTTAAATGACGTCAGGGTCAATTTCTTCAACCATTTCACTTCCTTCGTCAATGTCAATAGAAGCTTCTTCAACCTTTGGTAAGAATTTCTGTATAACATCTTTGTTCGTTATTGTCTTCAGAGATGAAGGATAATATTTCACATTTGTTTCACCCTTCTTATATTCTTTCTGTTCGGAAAGATTTAAAGCAATACTGAAGAAGTCAATATTAGAGTTCTTTATAACAGTATAATGA